GCGGGGGGCGGCCAGGTGGGCGGCGCCCCGGCTGCAGGAGAGCGTGAGGGCGCCAGTGCAAAGGCTCCTGGGCTCCCGGGGAGGCCGAGGCGGGAGGCAGCGGTCGGGGCACAGGCGAGAGGGGTGCGGGCTCTGCCACCCTCCGCAGGCCCTACTTCACCTACTGGCTCACCTTCGTCCACGTCATCATCACGCTGCTGGTCATCTGCACGTACGGCATCGCCCCTGTGGGCTTTGCCCAGCACGTCACCACCCAGCTGGTGAGTGCCCGGAAGAGGGGTGCGGGCCAGCCTCCCAGGCAGGCTCTGGCCTCCTGGGCCCCGACTCCTCCCCTGGCCGCGCCCACCCAGCAGCAGGGGCTCGGGCTCAGCGCGCCTCCCCGCCTGGACGGGCCCCGCCCCCGGCCCGACTCCGCCTTCTACCCTGCGTCAGGTGCTCAGGAACAAGGGTGTGTACGAGAGCGTGAAGTACATTCAGCAGGAAAACTTCTGGATCGGCCCGAGCTCGGTGAGTGAGGGTCCCGCGAGCCCGCCCCCAGCTGGCGGGGCCGCCTGCCCGTCGCCTGGCTGTCAGGGCGTCCCGGGAGGCTGCAGGGGCCCGGCTCACCCCGCGCTGCCCCGCCAGATCGACCTGATCCACCTGGGGGCCAAGTTCGCGCCCTGCATCCGCAAGGACCGGCAGATCGAGCAGCTGGTGCGCCGGGAGCGAGCCCTGGAGCGGGACTCGGGCTGCTGCGTGCAGAATGACCACTCGGGCTGCATCCAGACGCAGCGCAAGGACTGCTCGGTGGGCACAGGCCCGCGGGCACAGGCCGGCCCCCACCGCCCCCGCGCCTCTCCGCTTGCCCCGTCCTAGGGAGTGGCCCCTCCAGACAGTGGCCATGCCCCCCCGCCCCCCAACCCCGTGGGGCCTTGCGTGGCCAGGGCCCCAGTGCCTCACCAGCCCCAAGAAGCAGAAGCTGTTGGGCAGTGGGGCTGCAAGGTGGACCTGTGCCCCAGGGGGCCGGGCACGATCCCGGCCCACGCCGCCAGGGGTGCCCTGTCCTCGCCACGACGACCCTCCCTCCTGCAGGAGACCTTGGCCACTTTTGTCAAGTGGCAGGACGACACGGGGCCCCCCATGGACAAGTCCGACGTGGGCCAGAAGCGGACTTCTGGGGCCGTGTGCCACCAGGACCCCAGGTACCGCCCGGGGCCCCAGGCCCAGGCTGTCTGAGGGCGAGCTGGGGTCGTGCCTGTGCCACGTGGGGCGTTGGCAGGGGTGTGGGCGGCGGCACCTCTGACTTGTCCCTCCAGAACCTGTGAGGAGCCAGCCTCCAGCGGCGCCCACATCTGGCCCGATGACATCACCAAGTGGCCGGTAAGCGGGGGCGCCCGGGGGGCGGGGGCCGGCCTGTGCCCAGCTCACCCCGTCGCTGCGCGCTGCAGATCTGCACGGAGCAGGCGGGGAGCAACCACACCGGCTTCCAGCACATGGACTGCCAGATCCGGGGCCGCCCCTGCTGCATCGGCACCAAGGGCAGGTGAGGGGACCCCGCCCCACCCCAGGCGCCGCCCTGCCCCCTTCGGGGCCCAGGGCCTGAGCAGGGCCCGGAGCTGTCCGGGTGGCCCCGGCAAGGCTGCGGCCGCTCTGATCCGCCCTCGCCCCCAGCTGTGAGATCACCACACGGGAGTACTGTGAGTTCATGCACGGCTATTTCCACGAGGAGGCCACGCTCTGCTCCCAGGTGAGGCGCCCCCAGGCTGGGCATGGCCGTGGCTGCCCGCTCGGCGCTGCCGGCGCTGACCGCCCTGCCCCCAGGTGCACTGTTTGGACAAGGTGTGCGGGCTGCTGCCCTTCCTGAACCCCGAGGCCCCCGACCAGTTCTACCGCCTCTGGCTGTCCCTGTTCCTCCACGCCGGGTAAGGGCTCCCCGCCGCCCCCCCAGGCCTCAGGCCGGGTCTCTGCGGAGGGGCCCGTGCTCCTGGCTGACGCCCGCCCGTCTGCCGCAGCCTGGTGCACTGCCTCGTGTCCGTGGTCTTCCAAATGACCATCTTGCGGGACCTGGAGAAGCTGGCCGGCTGGCACCGCATCGCCATCATCTTCATCCTCAGCGGCATCACTGGCAACCTCGCCAGCGCCATCTTCCTCCCGTACCGGGCAGAGGTAGAGCCATCCCTCAGGCCGCCGCGCCCCACC